AAGATTGCGGTTACGGAGATTGTTTATATATTAAAATAATATAGATGAGGAAAAAAGGACATTCAATCGATAGAGCAGAATTTCTTCTTCCAGACAAGTCGTTATAAGAAAACGTTTACGTGAAAAGAAGTATTAAAATTTATGAATATCTAAAAGCGTTCATTTGGCCGAGTGACTGGACGGAATTTACGGCATATCCTAGTGATTAAATTTGGCTGTCCCAGTGTTTGGACATAACATTCAATAAATTATTAATAGCTGATTTTTAATAGTGAAACATGATACTTTTTTTTTATGTTGTAAAAATTCATATAAAAACGTAACAAATTTAATTTAATGTAATAAATAAGGGAAACAAAACTATAAATAAAGAAAATAATAAACATTATGAACAAAATCTATAAATGTATACATTACAAATTAATAAATAAGTAACAGTAAGGGAAAATGGCATTCTATTATTATTGATTATTAGATTATGAGGCTATTAAATAAACTGGTGAACACTATATTCGTTTATAATTGCACAATTTATTCAAAAGCACTCGGAAGGCGCGTCTTTATTCTGGAGGAAACTTCCAGAAGTGGCGAGCAACGCGACGCGATCAGAAAACAACGACATCACGTTTTTCAGGGACGATCGGTCCCGCTCGTAACGAAACAATGTATCGTTAGGAATGAAGTTGAATCTTCTCAAGCATTGAACAAAATATAATAGATCTTTTTGTATATATATATTCATTAATATTATAAAACCAACACGCCTCCTCAAAAAATTAATCGATTATATTTAAAAAAAAAAAACACACCTTCCTTGTTACTTCTCTCCTCTGGGATAAGTTACATATGGTCCAACATTTGTTGCTTGGGATTAGGGAAAACCCAGAAAAACCTAATCAGACCATTATATTAAAAGTTACATACACTAGTATACTCGTTAATATTTATTGTTCTAAACCCATTCCAGTCCTGAGTTCCAGGAATTTGACTGCCGGTAATGGCTTCGTTAATGCATCGGCCAACTGATTACCTGTAGGAATATATTTCAGTTTTATTACATTTTTCTCAATCTGTTCTCTTGAGAAGTGATACTTTATATCGATATGTTTTGACCTCTTGTGACCAGTCGGATTATTTGCTATGCTGATACAGCCATTATTGTCCTCATAAATAATAATTGGATTTAAAACATTTAAATCGATACTATCTGCTAATGATTTTAACCATAATGCCTCCCCAACAGCTTCAAAAAGAGCCATGTACTCAGCTTCAGTAGATGAGGCTGTAACAGATACCTGCCTCCTTGTGTTCCAAGATATTGTACAACGCTCAAACAATTTGAATAAATATCCTGTTGTACTTTTTCTGTCATTGTTATCGTTTCCTCCCCAATCAGAATCAACATAGCCATTTAAAAATTCGTTATAATCACCTCGGACAAAAGTTGATTTAATATTAATTGATCCTTTAAGATATCTAAGTACTCTTTTTAAGCATTTCCACAGTTCTTCGTTATTTTTATTTAGGTATCGACTTAAAATATTCACAGCTGTGCTTAAATCAGGTCGAGTACACAACATTACATACATCAAACATCCAATAAGATTTCGACAAGGAGCGTCATGTTTCTTATCAGAGTTTAAGGCTGTATAATTTAATTTATTTTCAAGAGGCGTACTTACAGGTTTACATTCAGACATATTAAATTTATTCAAAATTGTTTGAATATATGCACTCTGGCTCATTATTATACTATCATTACTTCTTTCGATTTTGATCCCCAGAAAAAATTTGATATCCTTTAAATCTACCATGTAAAATTTATTCATTAAATAATTTTTAAAGCTATTCATTACTTCTATATCAGCTGTAGCAATCACAAGATCATCTACATAAAGTACCACATATATATTTTTCGATACATCTCCTTTATTTAAGATATAGATGCATCGATCTACAGAGGAATTTCGAAAGCCTTTACTTTTAAGTTCTTGTTCAAAAATTTCAAACCAGCATCTTGCTGCTTGCTTTAATCCATATAGGGCCTTGTTCAATTTACAAACTTGATCATCTCTACTTTCAACCCCTTCAGGAACTTTCACATAGATTTCCTCTTTCAATATACCATTTAGAAAAGCAGTTTTTACATCCATATGATGGACTAGTAATTTAAATTGATTGGAAAACGCCTCTCCATCCAAACCCTTGATCATCTCTACTTGCAACCCCCTCAGGAACTTTCACATAGATTTCCTCTTTCAATATACCATTTAGAAAAGCAGTTTTTACATCCATATGATGGACTAGTAAATTAAATTGATTGGAAAACGCCATTATAAATCTGAAACTCGATATTCTTGCAACTGGTGCAAATGTTTCATTATAATCCACCAAATATTGCTGACTGAAACTTCGAGCAACAAGGCGAGCTTTATATTTTAATGGATTTCCAAACTCGTCATTTTTAATAGAAAATACCCATTTACAATCAACAATATTTTTATCTTTAGGCTTTGATATTAGAGTCCAGGTATTATTAATTAAAAGAGAATTAATTTCATCTCTAATTGCTCGTTCCCATTGAACTCTATCATCTCTATTTTTAACTTCCTGATACGAATTAGGAATTTTGCAAACTAGAGATTGAGCACACATGAGGTAATCATCCGGTTTATCAAATTCATTATAAGAAATAGTTGGACGACATTTAATCCTATCACTCCTTCTTAACTCGGAAGATATTTGTCCTTTACTTCGGTTATTTTGCGATGAAGACTCTTGTATATCTGTTTCAACTACAGATTTATTAGATCCATGACTTAATTCAGTATTTTTATTTGTCTCATTTACCTTCGATTCCGATATATCTGATTTATTACTATCAGATTTATGAGACTTTACTGATTTTGACTGCATGTCAGACGAATCAGTTTCAAGCTGTACCTCTACAGGCCTGGATACCAAGTCAGTTTTATCATGGGAGTTTTTAGAATTAACCCCTTCAAGCTCTATTATTTCAGGCCTGGATACTAAGAAATTAGTCTCATCTACTATAACGTCTCTAACTACAACAAATGTACTACTTTCCACGACCCACACTTTATACCCGTTCGGTTCATACCCAACTAGAATGCTCTTCCAAGATTTCTCTTCGAATTTCGATTGTCTAGTTTTATTATGCACATAAACTGTCGAACCGAAAACCTTTAAGTATTTTAATTGAGGCTTTCTACTATGCCACAATTCGTATGGTGTTTTAGACTCTTTTAGAGCTTTAGTTGGGGTCAAATTCATTAAAAACGTAGCAGTAAGGACAGCTTCACCCCAAAAAACCTTTTCTAAACTAGCCCCAGCTATCATTGCACGAGCCTTTTCAGTTATTGTCCTTATCATACTGATGTAATACATGGTTGATTTCGTTCAGGATAAATTTCAGCATATATAGCTATAGCTCTTGTTGCATTTCTACGGCACTCACCATAAACTAAAAGCATATCCACTTTTTCACAATTATTAAATTTCATTTTTGCTTTTATCTTACTGATATAGTGACGTGTAAACACTGATGATAACTTTAATACTGAATCACGGACAGAATAGGCGATTACGATTCCATACGCAGAATCGGTCATGTTGATAAACATTGTCACGGAAACTTCGCGGTCTTACGGAAATCTTTGCTGGTATTGAATCTCCAACTTAATATTACGCACAGACCATTTTCAAGAAACAAAGTGAAATTATTCGTTAATTATTAGGTTTACGGTTAGTAAATTTCTGTTAGATTCCGATGTTTAATATTTAAAAATAATAATTTTTATTCTACTAAACTTTTGAACACGAAATCTTACAAGTTTTCTAAAGTATTTAGGCTATAGTTTCTAAAAACTGTTAGGTTGTAGTATTCTTCTATATGTCTCACTCAGGATCTTAGACAATAATCAACCTTGTTAATTCTTAACGCGCCCTTAAGTAGTATTCGGAGATCTGATTTAAGAGGTAGTGGGAGTGAGGAAAGGTCCAATAGGAAGTCTTGGATGTTACTAGGTGTTGATGAGTAAGAGGCTAAAGGGTATGATTTTGGGATTGGTGAGTAAGAGGTTCAGGCATGACTCGGGGTTGCTTCAAGGGTCGTATGCGTAATTATGTACTGAAGATAGGAAGAAATTTGGGGCTGCTTATCTTAAACTAATCGGTAAATATAAAAATATTCTCTAGCTTAGAGCGGTATCCAACAAATGTAAGCAGGTAAGGATTCATGGATAAGTGAAAATTTAAACTTTTACATTTTTCAGTATATTTTAATGAAAATGTCTTGAATGAATTGAAGAGATTCTCCCGATTAAAATGCATCAAAATTCGAGTGTAATTGAACAATTGTTACTCATATGTAATGTTGCGGATAAAAGTGATATATTGGGTTGGCAAGAATGTATTTTCGGTTGTGACACATAGATAGCGTTGTAAGCGTTTTGAAGGACTCCTGTCTGCGTTATGGTTTTGTCCTTTTGACATTTGATATCAGTCACATTTAGGTTACTTCAGAAGCAAGTTGTGCAAATTTTTGTTTGTAGCTGGTAGTTCAGGGTCAATTTTAACATGGAGTGCAAAAACGAACATTTTCGGCATATTTTACTCTTTTATTTTCGTAAAGGAAAGAAAGCTGCTGAGGCCCACAAAGAGATATGTGAAGTTTATGGTGTTGATTGCATAACAGATCGCACGTGTCAGAATTGGTTTAAAAAATTCCGTTCTGGAGATTTTTCACTCAAAGATGACCAACGTTCTGGTCGACCTACTGAAGTTGATGATGACCAAATCAAAGCCATAATTGAAGAGGATCGTCACATAACTGTTCGAGAGATTGCAGAGAGGTTAAATGTATCGCATACAACAATTGAAAATCACTTAAAATGTCTTGGACTCGCTAAGAAGCTCGATATTTGGGTTCCGCATATATTGAAAGAGATTCACTTAACCAACGAATCAATATTTGCGATATGCATCTCAAGCGCAATGAAGCCGATCCTTTTTTGAAACGTATCATCACTGGTGATGAAAAATGGGTCATGTACAGTAACATTATTCGAAAACGATCATGGTCCAAGCGTGATGAACCAGCACAATCCACATCTAAAGCTGAATTGCATCAAAAAAAGGTCATGTTGTCAATTTGGTGGGACTACAAAGGTGTTGTGTATTTTGAGTTGCTTCCAAGAAACCAGACGATCAATTCAGATGTTTACTGTCAACAACTATTGAAACTGGATGAAGCAATAAAAGAAAAACGGCCCGAATTGGCAAATCGCAAAGGAATTGTGTTCCACCATGATAATGCAACATCTCTAATAGTGCTGCATGCGGCAGCAATTAGTTGTTAGTTCAAAATCTATCCCCGCTGGGCGACGAGTGAAAAAATTGAGAGAGCGTATGCGATTGTGTTCGTTTTGCGTCCTTTTTATAAAATATATGTGTAAGTACATATATAACGCCTGCATCAATGATGTCAATAAATGATAATAACTATTGTTTTTCGGGAATGCCATTTCAAGTGTTGCGTATGTAATTTCGTTAATGAAAAAAAATAAACATCGTTGCAAATTTGATCAAAAATTTCAGCAACAGTGGCTTCGTGTAGCAGATACACAAACCCAACTTGATGGTAACGGGGAAGAAAATTTATTTGTAGGTACTGCCGTTAGATGTATTATTAAGCTGTCCCAATTATCGATTATGTGTTTTCGTTAGCGTCCGATTGTTTACATCAGCGCTTCGATCGATTCGGAGTTGGCCCCAAAGGAGTCTCCCCCCTTAATAAACGAAACGAATCAGTTTAAAATATATCGAATCAAAGAAGTACAAATTTTAGGTTTACATAAACTTTTTCTAAAAATTGGCCACGTTATTTGCTAATACCTCGTCGAGCTACCCCCCAAAAAAATAATCGTTCTACGATCATTTGTTGCAGAGACAACCTAAAATTTTCCAAGCCCGCCAGATATAACGCACCAGATCAATTTCGGGGTCTCGAGCTCATTCGCACGGACAGCTCTCCCCACTCCGCTTCCGTGCGCTGTCTCATTCTCATACCGGTACTTTGCTGATCTCTATCAGAGTAGTCTCTGAATGGATTAATTCGAAAATTAAATAACAGATAATTCAACTCTTCCTCCAGACTTTGTCGAAATTTGAACTCTTAATGTTGAAAAGCGATTGCTAAAAAAAAAAATGATCTCGGCTCTTAGTTAACATAGAGTGGAATATTTTATATTAAAATGTGTAGAAACATAGCAGCTATCGAATGGCCTATACAGCAATTCGATACAGTCGAAATTGAAGTAGATATTCAAATTGTTTACGAGAAAAAAAGATACTCATACTTTGGAACCATATTTGGGTGATTTAATTTAAAAAATTCACTTCACAGTGTATATGATAGTACAACTCTCCAGCTGTAAAAAATACACTCTTTGGTTGCTGTTCGACTTGCCAAAGATGTAGAAATTAATTTTTCCGAAGACGCTTTTCGGATAAATAAATGATTTTTTGTAAAAACGAATAAATATTTAATGCTGAAATTTGGCATACTTCTTAACCGTAATGAAGACCATATTTTTTTAAAATTTGAAACCTGTGGTCTAATCCCTTAGAGTATTAAACAACTGAAAAAACAGTCTATTTCGACAGTTTTCATTCTTTTGCAACTTAACGTGTGGACCGATTTTAACGTACTATATCTCACTTTGTAGGTATTTCTAATACCTACATTTTCTATTTGACCTCTTTTTCTGTAAAATCTTTACATTTCTTTCTGCAAGCGAAAAACACGTTTCTCAAATTTTTTCGAATTCTTTTAATAATGTTCGCCAACTTTTCATGAGTCTCAAACGTATACATTTCATTTCTAATGACTTTCCGAACATTTTCATGTAAACACATAGCTACTTAAAGTTATTTTTTTAAAACAGTCTAATTTGACTGGACTATATGTCCAACAATGCAGTCTGTGCGTACAGTAATGTCCTGATAACTGTGAGTCGGCTTGCTCACGATAAGTGTGAAGTCATCATCCTCACCACTGGCGAAGGGGGCCGTGGAACCAGTTAATCGTATAATTTTTTGCCCGGCGCGCCGCGGCGGCTTCCCTTTCACGAGCCGAGGCACAGTGGGGTATTTGACCCAAAAAGCTGACCAAAACCCCAAATTTCATCTTTGTTCAAAATGAATGAAACTTTGTCCCTATGTTCCTAAGAATGAATAAAAGTAAACCACTATCTTGGTTTTTCGAAAGCAGCAGTATTTAGCAACAAATTGAGGCTTGAAAGTTAACAATTTTTGTGCTGGAGGAAAATGCCAAGAAACCTATATTAAAAAAGTTATTTATTACAAGTGTAGTGTTAAGGAAGTGCAATAACAGCATATGTAGGATATAGAGGAAGGTATGTAGACTAATTTGGCACCTTGTTTCCTTCAATTTTTTGTGTGGTTTTGATAAAACAACAATTTGAAAACAGTGTTTTTTTTTCGTAAAATCAAGTATAAAACATTGAATTACTTTTTTACACCCCAAAGCACCCCTTTACTTTTGATATATTTTTATCCTTCGACATTGCTTTATATATTTCTTGAAAAATTAGGTGCTAAGAGGTTCTAAAACTACAGTTCGGTTCAAAAGTATCGCCTCACTTGTGCACTAGTGTAAAATTATTGAGATTCAATGTTCCATAACTTTGTTAATATTCGTCAGAATTTGCTTAAATGAAAGGAAGATTAAAGCTTAAACATTCTACTTTTTGACCCTTTCATTCGATTTTATGTAACTCGGTGTCCAAGAGGTTCCCTTATAAAGAGGGCCTTCAGATTCTTAAATTTTGTTCATATTTGAGAACGGATGTTCCTCATAGACAACAGTGTTCGGAATACACGGGAATGTAATATTTTCTTAATCTCTCGTTCAGCCATCGCGTCGACTCGTCGAAAAAAGTCTCTTTCTTCCTACCGACTGGCACGACGGACTCGACGGACACAGCGGGGAAATGTATTAGTATATGTACAACGCTTCGTCAAAGCGATTAAGTGTCAGCGAATGCTTAGAGAGCTGTCGACGTTACAATGGTAGCTGGATCACCTCCAGTCATATGTATTTTTATTATCGGCCGAAACGATACACAGCACAATCGGACTGTGTGACGAAGAGAACGAACGAGACACATCGAGACCGAGTGAGATAACGCGAAACGCAGAAAGTACAATGTAACCATTGGCCCGTGGGAGCGTCGCAGGCAGGCTCACGCAGTCGAATCGAGTGGAAAGAGATGCTTTCTCTTTCTGTTTTTCACTCGCTTGTCCTTTTCTATGTCGGTTCACTAGAAAGGCAAGCTGCCGGGGCTTGAGCTTCGAGCAAAAAACTGATTGACAAGGTGCTGACAACTGTCCGCGCTCACCGTGAGTGTGACTCTGCTGAATGGCATTCACACTTATTAGGACATTACTGTATTACGAATATATAGGGCGACTATAGAAGTTACAATTTTTTTTTTCAAATTAATTTATAATAATAAATATACAAGCTATGCATGATCGACTATCACGTCGCGTAAAGTGTGAAGTTCGTCGCCCGCTGGTGTGCATGATATTTATCTTCCAGGTAATCTTAAGGGTCGATCCACACTATCGATCCGCTCTCGCTTCGTTCCCACTCCGTTCTCGGTTCGATCAAATATTCTTCCATGGTTTAAAATAGACATATTCACATTATGGGTAACGCTCCAATCTCAGTTCGATCGCATCCTAGTAACTATCCTCGAAAACAATATTTTACTGGCGCGAGATCGGGCTTGTCCAGAACCAAAACGATTGTAACACGTTTCTCGATTTACTACCAATCAATACGATTTTTCAAATATTAACAATAGCCAATGCAAAGTGTTGGCATTTTGAAAAAGGTATGTGTATATATGTATATACCGCCGCCGAGTAGGTAGATGTTGGTGATACCACTACACATATAATTATAAATTAATTACTAAATTTCTTTTCATTTTTATATGTATACGCATACATGTGTATATTGAACAATTAGATAAAACTTTAATGTGGTGAATTTTTTTATTTTTAGATGAAATGCTTATTGAATTAGTAAAGGCCAACGAAGGGTTATATAATTTGCAGTCACCATTTTATAGTGATAATAACTATAAAAGAAAAATTTAGAATGAGATAGAAAAATCCCTGAACCAAAATGGTAACTGTAGTGAAATTTTATTACATTAAATTTTAGCGCGTTGCCACGGTACAGAACCTACTGGTGAATTAAAACAATTTTTAAAAGCATTTCGTACAAGAAAAGCATCGGTTTGGGCATTTCCCCCCTGTCGTTGCAGATTTTGAACATTATTCAAATTACATCCTTCTGCCGTGGTATCCAAACTGATCACCCGATTATTTCGAATTATATTATGCAGTATGCACGTTGTTAAAATTATTGTTGTCGCATACTGTGGTTCTGCTTTTAGTCTTCTGCAATAAATTCGGAATGTTTGGGACAAATTCCCAAACGTACATTCAACTAATCTTCGTACTCTACATAAACGATAATTAAAGATGCGTTTTTCAACATCTTCGATGCTCTGTGTTCCTGGAAATGGTCTCATCAAATATTTTTTTAATGGGAATTAAAATGGGGCTACAATATTTGTTCCTGGAAGTACACAGTCTGCAGGAACATCTAATTTCTCATTTTCGAAAGATTTTCCTAAATTAGAACTAGCAAAAATACCGCCATCGCTATTTTTGCCAAAAGAGCCTACATCCACAGCTATAAATCGATAGTTTGCGTCTACGAGAGCCAACAGTACGACGGAAAAAGTTTTTTTATAATTATAATAGAGCGATCCACTGTTTGCTGGAGCATCTATTATAATATGCTTTCCGTCGATGGCTCCTAGGCAATTCGGGAAATTCCACATAGTCCATATGTCTGTCGCAATTTTTAGCCAGTCTTCTTTCCGTGGGGTTGAAATAAATTCAGTTAATAATACGTCATTAATTGCTTGACACACTTCCAGAACAATTCATTGTACGGTAGAGTGACCAAAACGATTACTGTATACAGATTATGGATATCTATTTAATATTCAAAAAAGTATTATTTACCTTAAACATACAACTAATTTTTCCCTGGGAGAAATAGCTTCGCGAAATCGGGTATTTTTTTTCGAAATTCTTCTTTCAATTTTTGATAGTATCATTTCGAATGTACCTGAACTCATTCGGAAATATTTCATGAATTTGTCGCCATCATCCACTAAATGGGAATATAATGTAAAATATTCCCCTTCAGTTTTTCTCTTCATCAAACTTGGATGAGTCCACAT